TGAAGCAGTCCATACGTTCGTTCATTCAGTGGCAAAGAATGCAAGCCTGGCTGTAGTACGTTTTACGATTTTTTGCGTTTCCTTTTTTTGCCAGTTGGCTGGCTTTTCCGGCTGGCTTCACCGCGGCTCGTTTCTATATTTTCATTTAAATTAATTAAATAAATAAGATTTTTTCATTTTATTCATTTTGTTCAGGTTGAAGCTTCCAGAGGAGTTCATCAGGGAAGATGTCAGGCTACGTTCATTCATTCAGTGGCAAAGAATACACGCCTAGCTGGGATACGTTTTATTCTTTTTTCTCTGTTTTCTCTGCAATTTAACATTAAGAAAGAATGCTCACACGCACACACACACACACACACACACACACAATTACATTAATTAGCTATATAGGTAGGTTAGATAGGTATAATTTTAATTGTAGGAAAGATAGATAGGAAGCATCCAACACTAATGTAGTAGAATAGGTAGGCACATAAGTTTATCTTTTCTATTTTTTCTTACACCCATATTACACGTATCAGCGTATTACACACACACACAAATGCACACATAAACACATATGTTAGTATTTGAGCGATATTTTATTTTCATTACACATTCTAATTTAATATTATTAAGGTTGAGAGTAATTTAATGTGATAGGTAGTTAAGGGCAATAATGGAATTCTAGGAACAAATGATGAAAATGTATGGTTGAAAAGGATTATGTATAGGAGCTGAGACAACATAAAATTAAAATCAGGCATTCTGCCTCGCTTGAAGCAGTCTATCTTTTCGTTCATTCAGTGGCCAAGAATGCACGCCTGGCTGGAGTACGTTTTACGGTTTTTTGTTGCGTTTCCTTTTTTTGCCAGTTAGCTGGCGGGTTTCACCGCGGCTCGTTTCTATATCTTCATTTAAATTAATTAAATGAATAAGATTTTTTCATTTTATTCATTTTGTTCAGGTTAAAGCTTCCAGAGGAGTTCATCAAGGAAGATGTCAGGCTACGTTCATTCATTCAGTGGCAAAGAATACACGCCTGGCTAGGAAACGTTTATTCTTTTTTCTCTGTTTTTCTGTAATTTAACATTAAGTAAGAATGCTCACACGAACACACACACACAATTACATTACTTAGCTATATAGGCTGGTTAGATAGGGATAATTTTAATTGTAGGTAGGATAGATAGGAAGCATCTAACACTAATGTAGTTGAATAGGTAGACGCGTAAGTTTTTCTCTTCTATTTTTTCTTGCAACCATATTACACGTATCAGCGTATTACATACACATACACACACGCACAAATATATACATAAGCACACACGCAAATACATATACACATATGTTAATATCTGAGCGTTATTTTATTTTCATTACACATTCTAATTTATTATTACTAAGGTTGAGAGTAATTTAATGTGATAGGTAGTTAAGGGCAATAAAGTAATTCTAGGAACAAATGATGAAAATGTTGGTTGAAAAGGAGTATAAATAGGAGCTGAGACAACATGAAAATCAAATCAGGCATTCTGTCCGTTCATCCATTCAGTGACAAAGAATGCACATCTGGCTGGAGTACGTTTTACGGTTTTTTCCGTTTACTTTTTTGCTATTGGCTCGTTTCTATACTTTCATTTAAATTAATTAAACAAGATTTTTTCATTTTATTCATTTTGTTCAGGTTGAAACTTCTAGAGGAGTTCATCAGAGATATGTAAAGCTACGTTCATTCAATCAGTGACAAAGAATACACGCCTGGCTGGGATACGTTTTCTTTTTTTCAATCGTTTTTTTAATCGTTTTTTAAATTCACCCATTCTTGAACATTTTAAAACCTTCTATAACATTCTAGAACATTCTAGAATCTTCTAGAACATTCTAGAATGTTCTAGAATGTTATAGAAGGTTTTAAAATGTTCAAGAATGGGATGTTCGTATATAAAGCGAGCAAAATTTTAATATAAAAACGCTTATAAATCTACGGATATTGGCTCAGCTTGGCTTGGCTTAGCTTGGCTCAGCTTGGCTTGGCTTGGCTCGGCTTGGAATCGGATGTTAAGCAAGGTGTGGTCTCAAACTATTTTGGTCTCTCCAAGAAAAATTTGAACTACAGTGTATCTATGTAGCACTGATTACTGTAGCTTTTATAACGAATTTATATTATTTATATATATATATATAAATATATACATATATAGTAACTAGAATCCACGTATACAAATAATTAATAAGATTATATGTTTATATAAAAAGCAATATAGCAGATTCAACCTAGAACTTTTTAAAACATTCTGGAACCTTTAGAACATTTTAGAACATTCTAGAACATTCTAGAATCTTTTAAAACTTTCTAGAAACTTCTAGAACTTTTTAGAATCTTCTAGAACTTTCTAGAACCTTTAGAACATTCTAAAACCTTCTGGAACATTCTAGAACATTCTAAAACCTTTTAGAACATTCTAGAATCTTTTAAAACTTTCTAGAAACTTCTAGAACTTTCTAGAACCTTTAGAACATTCTAGAACATTCTAAAACTTTTTAGAACCTTCTAGATTGAGAATATTCTAGAACATTCTAGAACATTCTAGTACCTTCTAAAACTTCCCGAAACATTTTACAGAACAATCTATATAAAAAAAACTTTAGTGAGAAAAATCTAAAAAACGAGCTACAAACATAATAACGCCAAACATTCGGTAGAATTTATAGAATATTGTAAAATAAATTATGATTTATTACCAACATATGCTATATATTGAAAGGTGAGATTTCAAAATTGTGAAATTCGTGGATAATAAGTGTTCAAAAATAATGCAAAAAGAGTTGTATTAATAGTTGATGAGTTGTGAAATTATTTTCAATTATAATTGTATATATGATGTGTGTAATATATATTATTCTGAATGTCATACTAGTACGTAGTAAAAATTTTAAATTTTTCTGAGAATTCAAAATAGTTTGAGACTACACCATAACACAATTGTACAATTTGAATGTGTAAATACAACATTATAAATGTATTATAACTACGTATATATATCTAATATTTTTTTATTTAGTTCTGCCTGCGTATGATATTTGGTCAAATTTATTTGATAGGAATTGAATATAACTTTTATACCGGCTGATTAACTACCATGCAGTAAAACAACTACTGTTAACATGACGTCATTTTCTCCAACGATTTCGCAACGAATTAGGTACCCATCCAATTTAAAAAATTTTATTTGATGTTTTTTAATTAGTCAGGTTACAACCATTGAATTATATATATAATCATATAATTCCATGGGTCACAATCATCATCATCGATATCGCAATGAAATCAAATTGAGAATTTTTTAAATTTTCAAAAAAAGTATCTTTATTCATTTTATGATATTTCTTTGTTCAATAAGATACTGTTTGATGCATATACGCTTTTAAACTTTTAATCTTCTGAATCTACCTCTAAGATTAAAAGCAAACTTCAGTACGATAAAATTGGATCTTGTTTTTATTTTGTCTAATCCTCTGTGTGGTTTGTTGGATGCTAAAGAAGGATTTCAAAGTAATTTAAATATTAAATACTTACCATTACGTTTCTGCACCGTCATTTTTATTTTTTAATTAATTTTTGCTACTTTATTTTTAAACTAAGCTGTTGACATTGGATTGTTTGGGTACTTTGCTATTTATTATAATTATATAATTTTTATAATATAATTTATTTATAATCAATCAATCTTCGTTTGGCCGTTTAGCGTCCAGAGACCCTGTTTCCATTATTTATAATATATATCATTTATATATTATAATATATAATTAATAATTGTATATAATTATATATTATATATATAATATATATATAAAATATATATAAAACTAACTCTAACGTCTAACCTAACAACTGAAGACTAAACCTCAAAAAGTCAAAAGTGATAAACTTTAATTTAATTAAACTTGTATTTTGATATAAGAACTTTATTTTTTATTTTTCATATTAAAAAATTGTACAATACTATGTATGTATAAAACTATAAATACAATCTTTCTACAAAAATACATAAATTTCATACATTATATTATGTGCATATACTGAATATAAAAAAATTATATAGATAGACATATTTTTGATTAATTTAAAATTGAATTTTAATTTGGTTACAAAAAATAAAAAAGTAAAAGATGGCATAGAATAGACCTTTTATCTTTTTTCAACAAATTACTCTACTGATAAATATTTTTGTAATAGACTTTCACTTTATAAATCTATTTTAGAAACATTAATTTCATATTTTAATTTTATATTGAAATGGCAATGGAGCATTTTTGTATTTGATGATTTATTTAGAACCTCAGAGGCATTTGCTTTGCTATGGATTGTTGAAACAGCACTTATTAACTATTAAATAAAGCCATAGGAAAGTAACTTACTACTTAAATTAACTTAACTGACTTATATCTGCAAAAGTTCAAGATGCAACAAGATTTAAACTTTAAACCATTCAGTTTGGCTTCATGGGTATAGCTTTTGTGATGCCAACCTTTATGCTCTAACTTGCCTATATTAAAAACAGCTTATAAGTTACAAGTCTTCAAAAGAATTAGTGCTGTTAAGTGAAAGAGGTTTAAATAAAAATAGAAAAACCACAGTTTAACACATTCAAACAGTAACATAAACGTTAGAAATGGTACTCTGATTTTTTCTTCAAACTCATATCCTGTTTCAACATTTCACAAAAACTAAAATTGGCACTTTTGAAAACTTCTGATAAGCCACTGATTGTATATGTATTTTGCTTTGAATTTTATATTTTTAAATTATTTTCAGCATGTTCACCATTTTCTCAAAACTGTTACCATCTATTTGTAAATGTGAATTGAATTCCAGCTTTTTGAGGTAAACCTTTAATAACTTATCATTTAAATCTTATTCTTTCATTTTTTATCTATTTTATTTATATAATAAATTTTTTTTAAATTTAAAAATTTCTATATTAATAATTTTGTCATTTTATGTTTTTAGACCCATGTCCAGATTTTACTCTTTGTACGAACCAGAATTTTTGGTTAGTATTTAATATTTTAAAAATTCATCATACTTAATTTTGTTTTTAAACTGTTTTTGTTGTTTCAACACTGTCACAGGATGAAAAAAAAGATACTCCCATGTATACAAACTTATCTATAAGATTGGAGGGCTATGATTTTGTCATTGTAGAATCATTTGCAAAATATATAGACAACAAATCAAAACATCTTGGTCTCCAGTCAATGGTGTAAGTGACATGTTTTTTTCATAACATATAAACCGTTAAAATACAAAATAATTGTTGAAATAAAACAATTTAAAATTTAATAATAAGATATGCAGTGCCTGCAAGAACAACTAAAGTACAGATATATAAGCCTAACACATCCCAAGTTGGTAAGGAATATGATCTAGCATTATACAAGAGGGTTGTTCAGGTAAGGGGAGTGCTTTGATAACATTGCAGAACAGTTTATTTATTATTCATATGGCCTGCATTTACTAAAATATAATTTATACTATTTAGTATTTTGTGGGGATATTTAATTTATAATATTTTTTATGTTGTGCATGTGCCTGTGAGAATACCAAAATTTTATAACGAATGCTATCCCAGTCCACTGATTGCACTCAGTCTCATTCCTCTACTCCCTAAAGTTCAGTGCTTCTCCTATTTGAGACTAAATTGACTTGATCTTGGAAATTGTATTCTATGCTCTGTTCCAATGACTTGTTGCAAATCATTATTAGAACTTTTCAAACGTTACTCTTTTAGTATCTTTTAACGTTTATAATGCAGCTCAATCAAATGCAGAGTTGCTTAAATGTTATTCTATACCTTGTAAATTAAAGTTTCGTACTATAAAGGCTGTACTGTCCACACTACACGACGCACATACACATTATGTATGCACGCACAAGCGAGCCCGTATTATATCGTATTGCAACTTGTACAGCCCCTAGCCCCTCTCATGAGTTGAATTTAGACGAGCTTTCTCCATTTTTTTTTCTGTGGAAAGTTGAATAGGTGATTTTGTAGACGCTGTTTGACTTATGGTGTTGAATCTCTTCAGATCAGCAGGTAATGCGTTCCATGTTTGGGCTGCTGAAAGAAAATCTTCTTTTCCCAAAATGTGATGGTTTTTTGAACTTCGGACATCGCGTAATAACAACGGGAACTTAGAGGCACTTCTACCAACTGAACCTTGTGACCGTTTTACTGAATTTCACTCCTTTATTTTCTTTAATCTTAGGAGAAAAACATTCACAGCTCTTTTTAACCTTGTTGTTCATCGTTGACAGATATACAATATCAGAAATATGTATATTTTTCATCCTTATTTGTATATATTCGTACATATATAAACGTGAAAATAATATAATTTAAAGACAGTTCTAGGTTTTGAATTGAATGATATGCCATCTAAGAGCTAAATTATTAAGCTGTACTTCAAATTTTGTTAAAATTTATTGCATAATGTATATGAATGGATGAATATAATTATAGGTTTCAGATTTGCCATCTACGTTAGCTCCTATTTTCTTTGAAGTGTTAAATACGAATCTCCCTCCAGCGGTTTCTTTAGTGATTTCACCAGTAAGTTGAGAAACAATTGTGCATATATTTTAAATTTTATACTTATTTTCCAATGATATTTGTATCATCCACTCTATGACATGCAATGCACGTAAACTCAAAATATATAGTGTATGATAATAGCCTGAGTTTCGTATTTGAAGGCACTAACTAACTGTAAACAATAGTCAGTGACAGCTTTTTAACTCAGGCGTATTCTTAGGCAGATAAATTTATGAGGTCGGAACAAGGGCTAGTTTTTCGACTCATTGCAAAAGTTTACTTACTGTTACGAGTTAAATTTTAAAGTTTGATTTTTATACATAATTTTAAACCAAATTTATTTTGCCCTTTTCAGCCTACAGAAGAGGAAGAGGATTATAGATATGTGCCTGATTTGGCATTATTAGAACTCCAAGCTGAAATTGCCAAAATTGAAAAAGCAAAAGAAGAACGAAAAAAGAAATAAAGTTGATGTACATTTTTTAACAAAAATCTTTCTTTGTTTATTTGTTCTTTAAAACTATTTTGAAGATCGTGTAAGTCTAAAATTATTTTGACACGTTGTCATATTCCTACTATATATTCTAACGGTGATGAAACTATGAAAGGGGACTACGTATTATATATACATTAGGTTAGCTAAATTTTAGAGAAAGTTGAAAGTTTTATCGATTAGCCAAATAAAAAAAGAAATAAAGTTGATGTACATTTTTTAACAAAAATCTTTCTTTGTTTATTTGTTCTTTAAAACTATTTTGAAGATCGTGTAAGTCTAAAATTATTTTGACACGTTGTCATATTCCTACTATATATTCTAACGGTGATGAAACTATGAAAGGGGACTACGTATTATATATACATTAGGTTAGCTAAATTTTAGAGAAAGTTGAAAGTTTTATCGATTAGCCAAATATTTGCGAATCTTAGATTAGAATGTATGGGAAAAGTTAAACCAGTCGTAGTATGGGAGCGAGCAATAAGGAAAATGTATATAGAACAGATCTAGGAGTAATAATACGTTTGAATGGTAAGGTAGCACGTCAGTGCACCGAGGCAGCTAAAATGTAAACAGAGCTCTGGGTATGATAAAAAATTAAAAGCAGAGACAAGATTTTCATATTAAACCTGTAAGTTGGAGTACTGTGTTCGAAAAACGATGATTGTAATTGCAACTGCGATACACTGAACTATATAGTTCCATGGATATATATCCATATAAAGTTCAATGTTGCAACACTATAAAAATTCGTAAATAAATGCGGTGATTAATAAATGTATTGAATTAAATATCTGCAAATACTTATAGAGTTGCATCTGTTGTTACAAGTAGCCGTGTTATCACCTTCGTGTCGGGCCGGAACATTTTAAAGAATGCAACGTTTTAATTGGAATTTTCAATTCTTTGAGTTCTATGTAAACAGAGCTGACAGCGATATTTAAAATAACATGCCCATTTCCAAGGCCCGTCCTATCAGGCCAATAACTAATTTACTTTTTACGTTCTGTTCGCTGCGATCATGTCGTGCATTATATTCAACTAAAAAGACGTCCTTCAGTTCAACCGTAAAAACACCGAAGACAAGTTTTCCACTCTCCTTGGAGTCATCATTGATTTGTGCAAGAGAAAAAGAAATTCAGAAGGTACAATGATTATGTTTCTTAAAACAATTTGTAATTGAAAAGTTTAATTTAATATGTTTGAACAACTTTGAATAGAAATGTGGATTTGATGGGCTGTACAAGTGGCAGCTTCTGCAGGATCGCTCCAAGCAATTTGTTTTTCATGATGGTCCTCCATACGCCAATGGTCAACCCCATGTTGGGCACGCGTTAAATAAAGTTTGCTCCAATAATAATCTAATCATTCAATCATCTCATTCAATCAAATGCTATTCAAATTTTTACTTAATCTAATTTTAACTAAAGGTTTGATATGGTTTTTGTTTAAATCTTTTTAATTTTTATATGCGAGTGTATTGTATCATAAAAATAAAACTTCATGCAAAAGTTTTGGAGTTGTAAGCCTCTATCTTTCTATACTTTATATTTAAAAAAAAACAGATATTAAAGGACATAACGAACCGTTACAAGTTGTTGAGAGGCTACAAAGTGCGTTATGTGCCTGGCTGGGATTGCCATGGAACTCCCATTGAACAAAAAGCTCTTGCAGCAATCCAACAACAAGACAAATTAAACCCCCTCGAAATTAGAAAAATTGGTTAGATTTCTTTCTTCATATAAATTTTCTTTTGTAAAAAATTGAAACATTGCCATTTGTTTCTAAAGTTTATTTCAAATCAGCATGGCTTAGTTATTTTGTGAACATTTTATTTTTTTTAGCCTTATTTTATTAATTTTGTTACATTGTTCACATTTATTTATTTATTTTTATCCATTAATATTTTGATACTCTCAAAATCTGAGAACATTATAATGACAGTAGTAGAAACATTAGGATAGATTTTGTTTTTTAAATAGCAGAAATTTGATTGATTTGAAAGCGAGGGAATATTCAGAAAATGCATCAGGCCTTCAGAGGGATGCTTTTAAGAGGTGGGCTGTGATGGCAGATTGGCAGAATGGCTGTTACTTCACAACTGATCCAAAGTATGAGGCTCTCCAACTCGAGGCATTCTATCAACTCTATGAACAGGTTTCTCAATGATTTGTAGATATTTGGTTTTCATTTTATTTCTTATCATTTGACAAATTTAAACCTTTTTTTTTTGAAAATTTATTTCTGTATAAAATTGTTTTACATTTAATTTAATAATACCTGGTCAAGCCAAATAATATTAAATGAATTTTAATATTCAGGGTTTAGTTTATCAAGAATACATGCCAATATTTTGGTCACCTTCCTCCAAGTTTGTTTTATTTGTTAAAACTGATAATTATGATTATATATAACCCTTATTACAAGGGAAAAGTCGACTGAATACATGTTCTCACATTGTTTAACATAGATCAGCATTGGCAGAGTCTGAAATTGTATACAGAGATGATCACATCAGTACTCAAGTCTACATCAAATTTCAGATCAACAACTTTCCTCATGCTCTCCTCAACCATAAATGTGATTTTTGGCAATTTTTTTATACAATTTAATCATAATTTTCTACCACCTGTATATAAATAACAAATTGGTCGATAGGTGCACTAGACAAAGTGTACGCAGTTGTTTGGACCACAACACCATGGACACTGCCATTCAACAAGGCCATCTGCTATGGAGAAGGTGTCAGGTGTACAGTGCTGGTTTAAATTATTTTCTTAACTGTTTCTGAAATACTGTTCATATGTGTGTGGTAATGTTGAAACTGGATAACTGGGTAAAATAATTATTTGGTAAATGTTTAGTAACATTTGATACTTATGCACAAACTAAAAAAATAGGCAAACTGAGGTTTTCCTGACATTTTAAAAAAACATTAATTATTTTTGAAAATTATTGTTCCTACAATGTGAGCCTGATAATGCATGATGAAGTCTTCCCATCAAGCATTTGTTTGTCTATCAGTGATAATCTGAGTTACAAGCCTGAAAATGATGATAAAATTTAATGTTTTTGTATGAATTTTTGAAGTTTGTTCAACATACATGCAGGTATTGTTGTCTGAGAAGTGACAGGGGTGAGTTGTTTGTTGTTGGCAACAAGTTCCAACAGCGACTTGAGGAAATACTGAATGGAAACAAGTTGCAACTCGTGTCTGAATTCATGGGTGCTTTAAATTTTTGCCTTTGATAATTAAATATTCCTCATTATTTACATGCTTTGCACGCTTTTCGTTCTATTTCAAGATATAATTTATATTTTCGTGTATTCAACACTGGATGTTAAATTTGATAAACATTTTCAGAATGTTGCTTATTTTTCATTTTACAAAAGTTTCCCATGCAATAAAACTTGTTTGTATAATAATCACTAATCACACACACAAGGCAGTGATTTAAATTCTTTGACATACATTTCAACCAATCAAAATGTATGTCCCTTCCTACCTGCCAATCACGTGACCAGTGATAAAGGAACAGGATTGGTCCATACCGCCCCAGCGCATGGTGTAGAAGATTTTCAAGTTGCCTTAAAATTCAATTTACCCATGGTTTGTTTTCATCTTCAGCATATATTAATATGAATTTGTAACATAAAGATAGTTTGTTTTACCATTTTTTTAATTTTAGGCCTAAATTTTGTCATAATTTTACTACCTTTCACAAGGATTGTCACGTGGATGATGATGGCAAATACATGGGAGATGCAGACTGCAGTTACAAACATCTGCAGGGACTGCCAGTTCTTGGAGAGGGTAACCAGCAAGGTTAGAACTTCGTTTTTGAGACAATTTTGCTTTAGTTGTTGTTAGGGTTACTTACTGTCAACTAAATTTTCTTTATTCATTTATATTTCTTTCTTTAATCTCCAGTCTTGAAAGATTATGAAGATATGATCATTAACAAATCTATGTTGACACATTCTTATCCATATGATTGGAGGACTAAACAGCCAATCATCATCAAGGCCAGCAAACAGTGGTTTATCAATACCAACAAAATCAAACAGAAAGCCATTGTTAGAATTTTTAGCTTACAAAAACTTGTTGCATTGATTGATTTTAAATGGATCTCAACTATCTCACTGTTATGTTGGAACTAGTTTTGTTATTTTTTACCTGTTGCTTTTTTTATATTTCTATTTAAGAGCTGTTTTTTGTACACATCCTAGTACTTACAAAGGAAAATTTTTTGTTGCTTATTTTGAAAGATGTACGTACACAATATGTAGTAGTGAAATATGGTTGATAACAGGAAAATCTGAGTAGTCTTGAAGTGGATATAGTTTCATTCAGATAATTTTTGGTTTGATCTGAGAAATAAGATAGCTTATTAAACAAGGTCTCTGCAACTTCAACCTTCTCTGCAGGTCAGCAGAGACGGTTGAAGTTGCGTACCTTGCTTCTTAAGCAGATATTGTTTGTACAAAATCTTGATTTGCTTGCTGGTTGTGTGCTCAAGTTGTGCTGACACAAAGTTTTATTTCTACAATATAAGTTCAATAAGATTTCTAATTAGCTCTGGGGTTTTTAATGCTGCATAGTTTTTGATTTGGTATGCAATGGCATGAACTTGAGTAGAAAAAAGTTTGAATGATTGAATAAAAATTGAATAAATTGGATTGAAAACTGGCACCAATTCGGTGATGCGATGTCGATCATGTGCTTGCTGTGCTTTATACAACATTGTCGACATTTAACCATAATTTATTTTAAAAATTATGAAAATTTTGTTATTGAAGGTTTTTAAATTTCTTTCATAAAGGATGCCATGCAAGACGTTTGCATCCACCCCAACATGTCAGCAGCGGGTATGATAGCTCAACTGGAGAGGAGGGATTATTGGTGCATCTCGAGGCAGAGAGTCTGGGGAGTTCCCATTCCAGTTTTTTACTGGGGGAAGGACAAGAAGCCTTTGATTTCCAGGTGTCAGCATTTATTAGATTTCCATCATTTTTTATGTTGATACTTTAGTTAATTTTTATCATTATATTCCACTAGGCATAAGTATTAATTTCCGTGGTATTTCATTTATTTGTTGTAGATTTATACCTAAATTTTGCCAATTTTTAAATAATTAACAACAAATCACAACGTGAATATGCGTGATTATGTTCAGAGCGTCCATCGAACACTTGAAATCATTGTTTGAGAAGCATGGGAGTGATTGCTGGTGGGAGATGTCCACTGATCAACTGCTGCCCAAACATGTCATCAGCCCGGTCCGTGTGTGTGTGTGTGTGTGTGTGTGTGTGTGTGTGTGTGTGTGTGTGTGTGTGTGTGTGTGGCAAGGTGCTTGCTCGCCTGCTGGGTAGGCATGGATCGTGCTGTGTTATACCGTGCTTGTTGAGTCATGTCATGTTACCATGTCACGTGTGTTAGTGTCATTTTATGTAATGTTATTGGTAAATCATGGAAACACTGATGATGATGCTCTGCTGATGATAAGAGAAGTTAGATGATGATGATAGAGATGATGAAAGGATGTTGCCAGTGAAAATATTGATGATGGTTATGATTTATAATAACAACAGTAACAATGATGATGATCGTGGGGGTGTTAATGTTTAGGACGGCTTAGAAGGTGGATGTTCATCTCTTGAGAAAGGCAAGGACATATTGGATATATGGTTCGACAGTGGAGTCTCCTGGTTTGCTGTACTTCAAGGCACGTCTTTTTATTCACTCATAATTGTGATACTAAATTACGATTGCTGTGATGGTCGCGATGATAATTTTGATATAACTGTAGTTTTGTTATCATGATAATTTTGACATAATGATAATTTTGATTTAATGGAAATTGTGCAAATTTTGTTGCATGTAAGTTGAGTAAATGTTAGAAAATGTTGTTTTGGCTTTTATAAAATAATTCAGTCAGTAGCTTCAATTGCGTGTTTGAAACAATCAACTCATCGCAGGTATGAAGGTGCAAGTGGCCGATGTTTATATGGAGGGGTTGGATCAGTTTGGCGGTTGGTTCATGTCATCCTTGCTCACCTCCATGGCCATCCAACAACGACCTCCGTTCAAGTACTCCTTTTTTTGTGGTCTTGTTCTTCCAAGTTTTTCGCCTTAAATTTATCTATTGTAATAAATATATCTATTATTATTAGGGTCGATTGAATAATGTTGATGACGACAATGTGAGTATCATCACATTCTATGATACAATAATGAAACAACTCTCAATTTATTCCTCAAAACTTTTGTTTACGTGTTTATTGGACGTATTTTTAAAATAATTCCGGCCAGAAAGCTTGTGGTGCATGGGTTTGTTCTGGATGAGAACGGAAGGAAGATGTCGAAGTCTCTGGGCAACGTTGTTGATCCTCAAGTTGTTGTTGATGGCGGGCAGGTTGTCGTTGCTGCTGGTGTTATGTAGTGCGATCTGAGGTTGTGATGTGATCCGATGTTGTGATGCGGTACAATGTGATCTGAGGTTGTGATGTGATGCGGTGTTGTTGAAACGGTTTTGTAGTGTTGTAGTTTCATTTTGGACGGTTTCAAGCAGTTCACAAATCAGCCATATTTTTAATTTCACGTTACTTTGATATTTATGATGATTGTATTGATCACGTGTTAACTACTTTGTTTCCCTATTTCAATCTTCCTATTTGTCTTTTCATTTGCTCTTGTTGGAAAAAATTGTTAATATTTTTTAATCTTTTTGTCATTTCAAGCGAGATAATGTCATGTTGCAGATGTAAAAATATAAAAATGTACCTCCAGAACACACCAGCATATGGAGTGGATGTGATGAGGTTGTGGGCGGCTCACTCCGGACTGGATGTTGCTGTCAGCATGGGACCAAACACGCTCGCTGACCACCATCAACGGTTATTTAAGGTGGACATCGTCGTGATGTTTTTACAATGATGTTATTCTTGTGCCTTTCGTCAATGTAGTTTCTGTACTTAGCGTGTTTGCGACTCGTTTGTTGTTGTTTGTAGTGATGTTGTTGTTTGTTTTTTGCATAGTTTTAAGGTTACGCTGTTTTACTTTTTTTTGTATTAGCAGAAATGTTTTCAAAAAATTCAGTAGTGATTGCGCAGTATTGATATGTTTGATAGTTGAGAAAGTCTTTGAGATATCTCGTTGGAAGTCTGTACGACTACAAAGTTAGCAGCATGATGAATGTTGTTGTCGACTTGAACCAGCTGAAACAACTGCATGCTAATGATCGCTACATGTTGCATCTATTACATGATCTCGTTCTGCAGGTTGCTCATCTTTTTGTTTTGTTATTAATTTTAAATTGTTGTAATCCTTAAATCTATATTGTATTGTATTTTGTTTTGTTTTGGCTTCGAATGAATAAATAATCATAATTGTTATTCCATAACGCGCAACTCAACATAACTCCAGGAACATTAAAACATCAAATAATGTTAGTAGTTTTGAGACAACTAATGAAAGTTATACTTTGAACATAAATGTATGTATGCATTGAAGGTGACAGCAGCATATGAAGAGTTCAACTTTTCGAGGGTTGTTCGACTGATCGACTGGTTCACATCATCTCAGCTCTCTGCGTTCTACTGCCATTTCATCAAAGACAGGTTGGTTGTCTTTTTGTGCGTGTGTGTGATGCGTGTTATGGTTTGTTTGACGTATTTGTACTGGCGTTTTTATTATCTGTTGATGGTCTTTGTGAACAGATTGTATTGTGGCGATGAGATTGGTAGGTCGTCATGCCAACGTACGATGATGACCACACTGTACTCACTCACTTTGCTACTTGCTCCCATTTTGCCACATTTTGCTGAAGAACTTTTCATGTACCACCCACTTGACAAAGGTTTTTTGTGTATTATTAACACTTACTTCGCTAGCACTTATTCATTAAATCATTTACTTACGAGCGCATCATTATTGTCTTGTTTTGACATTTATTTTTTTTAAATTTGTATTTAATCATTCAGTGAATAGTAGCGTGTTCAAAACATCTGATTGGATAACACCACTGTGGTCTGACCAATCGCTAGCCAAACATTATGATGTCGTTTTATCAATACGGGAAGGTCTTTTTCAGATGCTTGGAACTGACAAACCAGGAGATTTCGTTCTTGAAATATCGACTAACAGTCACGCATTGGATAGTTTAAAGGTATTTTTCAATTCGTTTTTATTTGTATTAAAACGTTTTTCTGGCGAATGAAGTACTGATTTCAAATTGTTGTGTTTCAGGTCATAAATAGTTCACATGCTGGTCCATCCTACACATCTCCACTTGCTGAGTTGATGCTCACTGCCGATGTCCATCTGAAATCTCTTTCCTCTAATCATCCTGCTGAATCTGATCATGAAAGTTTACTTAAAATGCACAAGCATCAAGGTGTCACAAACAGTTTTTTTAGGTTTTCAGCAAATTTTAATTTACGTGATGTTTGAACTTCAATTCAGTTTTCCACGTCAATGATACCAGTTTCGAACTGACGTTGAAAAAACCTGCAATGAAAAAATGTTCACGATGTCGGAGATTGACTTCAGATGGCCACCATCAAGCTGGCTTGTGTCTCCGCTGTTCCTCTCTTCTCTCAATATGATCCGCCATTTATCGTGTACAATTTCTTTGATATTTTTAGATTTTTATTTATTTTTGTCATTTATTTTTTGTATATGTTTTACTTTTTTTTTAATTGTTCAGTTATAAACTTTTTTACTGAAATAAACATAAACCTAAGCTTCAATTGTCCGTTCGGTGGCCGACCAGCTAAATTGGAGCGGGTTTCCTTTCTGAACTTTTTTAATCGTAATTGGGTTGGTAAGTTTGAAAATTTGGCGTTTCGGTTCGAACATTTTTTTGCTTTATCATCTCTATGGCATCTACCAAGACAACAAGAATTCAGATAAGTAAACGAATTCAATTTTTTGAAATTTTTGCGTTTCTTTGGATCTCAGCAACGTTTTTTTCAAACTACTCGATATGGAGATTAAATTTAATTTCGGCTTTTATAGACTCACTCTTACAGTTATAAACCAAGGTCTTATCGTAAGTTCGTTCATTTGTGTATTTCGTATTCATTTTATTTATTTTAAATTTTATTCGATCGTGTTTATGTTTTATTTAACAAAAATTTTATTGGTAGTTAACTTAGTAAGTTTTTTGGCTAAATTTTTTTCTAGAGGACTGATTTTTGTTGCTGGAATTTCAATGAAATTTTTTTGGAGATTAACAAAAGATAATTATTCTCTGAACAAAGCGATAAATAGAAATCAATTTTCAGCGTTTGCAGTTTCAGTATTTTGATAGCTGATCAAAACCGCACAGCGTATCAATTTTTAAACATTTTAAATTAACGAACACTCTAGATAACGGGGCTGATTGTGATTGGGTTAGGTTCTGCGCAGTCCTACCGGTCACCCACTCACAGTTTAATGATATTCGGTCTGTCGTTCATACTCGCCAGTCTGATCATGGTCACTGCCTTGTTTGGCATGCATGTTGTCGTCTACAGAAATAGATGCATGATTTACACTGTATCCTTTTAGAAACGTATGCATCATACTCAGTTGACTACGTCATGTTTTTATCACAATGTTCAAATTCAAAGCTGAAAATAATCAGACTCTGCTCAGCTGGATATTGCGACTAAAGACTTGAGCGAGCTGATATCAATTTCAATTTGGGCGTCAGAAAAAACGTTTGGAAGCAGCATACTGATTGGGTCGTCGCGTGTTTATAACACTTATAACACAGGTTATAATAATGCGACGATGATAATGATGATTTAGCATAAAAATTTTTATTAATAATTTTTTTACCAAAGTGAAAACGTTTAATAGTTCTTAACAGAATTTACTGATTAGTACCTGATCTTTCTGGTTTTGATGGCTTTGACGTTTTTAACATTGTTTGGCATGTCGTGGATAATGAATGAAATCTTTCGAAAACAAATTTTAGAAGGTAACCCACATGAGATTATGTCATCAACTCTGTACTTACGCGTTTGTTACCAACTTACAACAGTGTCTTATGTCTCTTGTTTTGTGTATTAAATAACATTTAATCACTAATCCCTTTTTATTTTCATTTAACTAAATACTAAATTGATGATGAATATATAATTAGTTGTAAGTGTATACAGTCACAAAAATTGCTACACCCATATTTTTGTTGATGAAGAATCCTGGGCTCATTCGACGATGAACGAAAAGAAAACCTTTCAAAAAGAGCTTGGCTGCTGCGGGTTCGACAACGTTACGCGAATGATGCTTTACGATGATCATCCAATGTGCAAAGTCTGTCAAATTTCATAACACAAAAATTGCACACCTACATTATTCCGTTAGCAGTGTGCAGCTTTTTTGGGGGTATATTTTCAAATCAAAAGTTTTGTACATTTTTTCTACTTTAAATATGTTTGTATGGCTCCATATACAAACTAATTTAAGGAATGCTGTGTAAAAGTTGTGAAACATTCCGACGGTTCAGCCACTGGTTATTCATGTGACTGCCTGTCCTGTTTTGATGCCATGGATTCGCACTTCAGTGCCTGCGTCAACACCATATTTTATTTCTCTGGTCCTATTTTTTTCTTAGTGGTGAGAAGTCAAATCAGTCATTTAAAGAAAAACACAAATAATATTTTTTCGCTGTCAACCGTATTAAAAACTTACAAAATTGAATCTTACTTATTTACAACACAAAAACCGATGTTGAATGACGAATATAACTGAAATCCAACCAGATATTTACAATGCCGATGACCTTGCAGTACAAATCTATAGAGGCTCCCGTGAAAAGTGGATACATATTTGATGAGGATGATGGAGATGAAGTAGGGAAGAGCGTTGACGATCAAAGTTTTGAAAGCGAAAGTTTGAAAGAAAATATTCAGGCATAACAATTTGTTTAAACAAAAAACATACGAATGATAAAATCGAAATAAAGTATTCAATGAACAAGTCAATTTAATCATTCGAGGTTATATTTTATGTAGTTAACAGATTTTTATTTGATAAACGAAATAAAATCCTCGTTGAATGACTAAAATGATGCGTAGGTTCAAACAAAACAAGTCCTACAAATAACTCCATTAACGATTGTAAAGTTGTATTGTAGAAAATAATAAGTTATCTTACAAATGGATTCATCGTTTGCAGGTTTGTATCTTACATGTTTGTGTGCATGTTTGTGTGCATGTTTTTGCACGTGTTCGTGTGCATGTTTGTTGTTCGTGTGTAGTGTATATGTCAAATACAATCTCCAATGTATGTGGCTCATTCCACGCAGGCAGCCTCAATTATTACAATACTATACTATTAAACAACATCCTCTCTGCCTCTTCTCACATCTATGATCATTATTATTATTGTTATTATTATTATTGTAATTATTATTATTATTCTGCCATTATTTCTACTACTAATAATGATATTATTGATTTTATTGTTAACAATGCAGTTAACGTAGTACTTTTTTTAAATTGACACGGTAGTATATTTTTTTGTTACGTTGTAAGTTGTGAATTGAGTTTGACATGATGTTCAATACACACATACGCACACACGCACACATACACACACACTTTAACATTGAACTAGTTGCAGGTGTATTTTATTTTGTTTAAACCATTGTAATTACTTGTTGTTCAGTTCTGTCCGCCATGTTAAACGCAGCTGACATCAGCTAAATTCGGTTACATTTGTGCTGTATGATGATGAATTCTATGAAAATAATAACGTAGTATATGAGATATATTTAGTTGAATCGAACGGCAAAACAATCGCATCACGTTCAAACTCATCTACACGTTATGTATTTGTCTTTTGATGATTATATATTACACACCGTCTACCCGTATCGGATTTGTTATTAGAATTTTTTTTAGTTCAACTAATAGTTACTGAGTAGTGTCTTGCAGAGTTTAAATCACGTTTGCTTTAATTTGGTGTACACATTTGAAATGGAGCAGGAGGCCGAGTTTGCCATCCACGAAATCAAGCCGCCAGGCACCAGCACCAAGGTGAATTTTTTCTTCTTTCTAAATCTTGCTGTCGAAAATTTTTTGAGTTATGACACTAATTAAGAATTCAATAATAGTTTGCAAAAAAATTTCTCATCGATGAAAATTTAGAATAGTGAAACATTCTTTAAATGATAGGAAAGAAAAAAGAAAGAGGCTAAGCTTAGCAAAAAATCCAAAGTGGAAAAGACCATCCAAGAAAATAAATGTCTCTTATGTGCCACCATAGTCGCCTTGATTGTCACTTGCTTGGCTGCAAGTTTTTCTTTTCAAAAATTCAAATTTGATTGATCTTTGAATTTTTTCGTCAATTAATAATGACATAACATTAACATTTCACATAAAAGAAGAGCATCAATGTTCATATAAATATGTTTTTATTTGATATTTATTTTTAGATTATTAATAACATTATTACACTGGCTACATCGAGACAGGGTTTCGTTTCAGTCATACCGGGCCTGACTTTCGACCACTGGAAGGAAAAGTTCGATCTGAATATCGAATCCTACTCGAGAGTGTGGATGATAGATGGGGCAGGTATTTTTGCGGGTGCTCTCATGTGCGCCATCATCCCGTGCTGTTGTAGTCACCTCTGCTTTGGGGTTGGAGCAATCTTCATGTCACTCTTTCCCTGTACCGCCAACTTTGTTTGCTTTCAAATATCAAGTTTTGTCAGTGGCTTTGGAAAAGGAATGATAATCGTTTGTAAGATATTTTTTTAATTTAAAATTTTTTTTCTCTATCTACAAAGTTGTAAAGTAATTAAACATATTCAATATTTATTATTAAGGTGGACTGAAACTGTTACACTTGTGGCCTGAATCGTCAGCGTCCGTGGTTATTCAACTGTTTTTCATCTCCTATTCAATCGGTGGAATGTTGGCGGTGCAGTTGTCGCAGTATTATTTAACATCATTCATTTCGCTGGAGAACGTCGGTAACACGACCTTCGAAGACTTCATACACTCTATTTCATTCAACGACTCATCCGCTCATTCACGCGGTGCCTCAGCCGATGGTGGCACGGAAGTTTATTTCATACAAATTTTAATTTTCATTATATGCTGTCTATCTTTTGTCTTCATGTCATTTTGGTCTTGTTTTTGCAATGATTCAACGAAGACGGAGAATTCTTGTAGTGAAAGTTGCTTGGACTCAAAAAAAAAGCAGAAGGAAAGCAGTGGACTTTCATACGAAGATTTCCACAGAGTCAACAGATCGGTAGAACTAAGTTTGAAGCGTGGTGAAACATGGTCCGATCAAAGAGAAGTCACAAATGACGCCATAAATGGCGGAGAAAAGACGCGACGTCTGAGCGTGAAACAGTGGTTTTCCAACAACAACATTCTTGATGCGGCTGTTCTCATGTTTCTTTATGTGCATTTCTTCTTTGCTTTTGGATTAGAATCGATCCTAGCAAAATTTCTTTGTCACATCAATACGATATTTTCAACTCAAAAATTACAATACACCATAGATAACTATTCAGTTTACTCGATATTCACGTGCATGTTTGTTGTTGGAAGATTTTTATCCATTTCATTTCTGCACGCTTACGCCTCGAACGCCATCATCGCCGTGTGCCTTGCCACAAACGTTGTTGCTTCGGCCATCATATCTGCGTATTTTGACAAATCTGAGAATATGGTCCTCTTCTGTTTAGCTGCATTTTCGGCTTTCTTAAGTCCCATATTGCCAGCAGGTTTTTCTCGCGTAAATTCGTACCTAGCCAAGTCATTCAGGTCTTTGGGATTGGCAGTTTGCTGTGCTGGGATTGGATACGCTTCCTTTTCCTGGATTTGTGGATTCATTTTATCCAGGACAACCCCGTTCTATCTTATGTTCTTCATCACAGCCACCTGCTGCCTGTGCACCCTCATGTACGTGCCACTCCTGGTCAGGGTCAAACGCCACCGAGACTCCTACAGAAATGCAAACGTCATTGCCACTACAAATTCAAGATCAATCGTTACTTACGTTTGAGTTAACTTCAATAACGTTTCCCTTATATAATAAAACGAATTACAATTTTTAATTCAATACTTGTTATCTAGAGTTTATTTATTCAAATACTTTCAAGTGAAACTGTAGTTGTTATATTCTATGCATATTTTTTTATTCAGCTCATTTTCAAAAACTTACCAGTGTTAAATTGCTTTCCTGTTACTTCAAAACGACATCATTAATTGCTGTCAAAAATTGTTCTGATGTAAATTTCATTATTATTTTCAATTTTTGTGAAGAAATTTTGTAATTTAACAAGCAGTAAATTGTGGTGGATACTTCACGTTATTTAAGTTACACTGGGCAGGGGCACTGCGGTGTAGACGTAAAACACGGAGAGGACCTACCCGAGTGACCGGTGTCAGATATTTCACATCTCGTTCGCCAGTGCACAATTCATTCGGCAGCCTTCAATTTTTGATGAATATTACGATAGGTTTTACTTCACACGGTACAAAAATGATGATGGTGATGACGATGACGATTATGATGATAATGATGATGATGATTGTAACAGCGTAAAACTGTTACTAATTTCATTGTCATTCATATATATGAAATTTACAAAATTTATAGCGTTAGATTTGGTAGATTTTATAAACTACTGCATTAATTGTTCCCTTATTCACCGAAATGGTCACTGTGATGGTTAAAATACTGCTACCTGTGGTGAAAACTTTATCACTTTAATAATGACGACATTGAGACTAGTACGTTAAATAATTCATTGTTACAATATAAAAAGATTGTTGAAGTAAAAAACATTAAAGATAAATGTTTTGCTGGAGAAATGTTAAAGTGTTACTAAAATACTCCGTCAGTGGTGCTGAAATTAAAGTTCGGAGACGTCTGTCTGATCACAGCAGTCAGCGTTTACCACCCCGAATATCTCCCGCCACATCAATCAGACGATACAACAAACAGTAAAACACGCGAGCCGGATTGCAAACACGTGTTGTTATGACACTCCATCTATTGAAACAATTAATGTAAACAATACGTCAGTGTCACAATTCTATTTATTCCCAACCGATGACGTTCTTGTTTACGTGCTTCTGACGTCATTACAACTACTCAAACCACTTGTGTGTATCACTGAGGCTCTATGTATCATCACTGTATCGCTATGTTTATACATGTGCTTTTGCCTGTGTTTGTGTGTGTGTGTTTTTTATATGTGTAAAGTATAAGTCATATATATATATATATATATATATATATATATAATATATGTTTATATGGTACCTACACGCGCATACATATGTATGTAATTTCATGCTATACGCTTCTTTGAATTATTTAAACTTGTGTTGTGTGTGGAACTTGTAATAGTGAGTTGTTCGTTTGTATGTGTGTTTGAATGTTTTCGTTTTTTCAAATCATTCACTGCACTATGATTGTCTAAGATTTGTATGTTTGTTTGAAAAAACTTTGTATATTATTTATTTCATTAGATATGTCAGGTCAAAAATTGTCTTGATAGACTGCATTTTGATTGTGGCTGCATTTGGCTTATTTCTTTGTGGCGTTCAACTGAAAATGGTTGTTGATAATTTTTGGATATACTTATATGGGTAGATGTTATGTTGATGGTTGTGGATGTTATGTTAATATTATGTTAATGCTATGTTGATATTATGTTAATGTTATGTTAATGCTATATTGATGTTAAGTTGATGTTATGTTAATGTTATTCTGATATTATGTTAATGTTATGTTAATGTTATTGTTATGTTAATGCTATGTTTATGTTATATTGATGTTATGTTGATGTTATGTGGATATTATGTTAATGATTGTTTATTTTTAGATACATGTTAATTATTACACATAACAAACATTACGCAATCAAATTGTTTGAGGGCGGTATTATTTATTATTTGATGAATTTTGCTGCTGCTATTCAAATCAGCTTAGAGTAGTAACTCAAGTGCAACAGTCGATACAAAACTATATAATACTTGATATGATTACAACTTGATGAAGCCAACAGTCGTTTGAAACAATTCTTTTCATTTTACTTCCAACTTCATTCATTCGTTTGTTTGTCTAGTTATTCATTTATTTTCTTCAAGTATTCATTCAATCATTTGTTTGTTCGTTCGTTGGTTCATCCATTTGTTCGTTCATTTATTCATTCGTTCGTTCGTTCGTTCGGTCATTCATTCCATTGCATTGGATAATTATTGGTTAATTGTTAGCATGACAACTTAATCGTTGTGGGATCTGAGATTGCCCAATGCCACGTATCTTAAATAAACAAACAAATGAGTTGGTCGTGTATCGGTTGACTGGTTGGCTAGCTGATTGGTTGGTTGGTTGATCCATTGGTAGGTCAGTTCGAGTATTGGTTGGCTAGTCGATTGGTTGGTCTGATGGGTGACTGGTTGGTTGACTGATTGATAAGACAGTTGATTGGCTAGCTGACTAAATGGCTGATATGTTGGCGGATTGGCTGACCGACTGATCAATTAATAAATTGATTAGCTGGTTGATTGATAGGTTGACTAATTGGTTGATTAGTTGGCTACGTGGTTGGTTAGATAGTTGGATGGTTAGATAGTTGGTTGGATAGTTGGTTGGATGGTTGGTTGGATAGTTGGTTGGATGGATGAATGGCTGGATGCTTGGTTGGATGCTTGTTTGATTAGTTGGTTGTCGATACGGATGGGTGATAATCACGTGGCATGTAATTGTTCTTCGTTGATATTTGATTAGTCACGTGGTGAGCAATACTTGAGCAAACATCATTTAGCATACTTGTGTGTGTGTGTGTTTGCGTGTAACTGTGTGTATATATGTGTTGCTATATGTTGGTATGTATGTATGTGTATGTATGTGTATGTATGTGCAAAATTAAAGATATTTTAATTTTGATTTAGATCTTATTAAACGGTTTTTATTGTAATCAATTTCAGGAATATTCCAACAACTCCACTTATTTTTTAACAATTATCTCCAAATAAATTTGAAAATAAAATATTTCCAATAAATTTTCTCAGCAACACTAATTGAACATTCATTAATATTTATTCATCCGTTCGTGTATCAACGATGCTTTTAAAGATATAATACAGATATAAAAATTGTCTTATATAAAACAATTATATACACACACATACATACATACAAATTTATATCTATATAATTGTTTGTTTTTTTTGTTTGTGTGTGTATTTGTGTGTATGTGTGTGTGTGTATGTGTGTGTGTGTTTATACGTGTCTATACAGGTTATAGTTATAAAGATAGAAAAGAGATAAGGTACATTTTCGTGTCAGAAGGTCATAAATAAGGCATCATTTGGAGAGTTAAAAATTATTAAAATAAATATCTTATTTATTTTATTTTAACTTCAGGCTAAATGACTGCACGGAATGACTGACAACTGGCTATAAAAGTACAAAAAATTTTAAATCATCATCGTCGTCGTCATCATCATCATAATCATCACTATCATCATCTTTAAATGATCGTCACATGTTCATGATCATCACCATCATTGCCATCATCATCATCATCATCGCCATCCTCTTTTCTATCGCGGTTAGTTAGATGTTATTTGGTGCAATGTTGTTTTT